TCTATGTGGACGGTGACACGTACGCCCCCTTGGCCACTTTTTGCTAGGAGCCAGGCTCCGGTCTGTACACCCTCCGCACCGACCCCCGTCAGGTTCCCCCGTCCCACCAGGTAGCCAGGTCCAGTCAGGTTGCTGTGTCAAGTGTAGTTGTTGCGTCGTGCTCGTGTCGGTCGCTTGCCCACCCCTCCCTCCTCTGGCACAACCGCCTTGGTCACCCTTTGCTCCCTCGTCTCTGCGCTATGTCCAGTCAGCGTCTTGTCTTAGGCCTCCCCCGAGTCCTCCTGCCCCTCCCGCCGTCCCCAGCTCCTCCATGCGGTCCTTGTGTCCAGGGTCGGCTGCCCGCCACCCCTCGCTCCTCCTCCCTTCGTCCGGCCACCGAGCCCTTCGAGACTCTCCACTTAGACGTCTGGGGCCCCGCTCCCCGCCTTGGCCCTGAGCGGGAGAGTTACTTTCTGGTGGTCGTTGACGACTACTCTCGGTACACCACCGTGTTCCCTTTGGCGAAGAAGTCTGACGTGACTTCTACGCTGATCCGGTGGCTCCTCGCCACCGAGGGCACTGGCGGTCGTCGTGTCAGTTGTCTTCACTCCGACCGTGGGGGTGAGTTTCGCTCCGGCATTCTCGCGAGATTCTGTGCTGAGCAGGGCATCACCCAGTTCTGGACTCTTCCAGACTCTCCATAGCAGAATGGGGTTGTTGAGCGCCGCTTAGGCCTGGTCATGGAGATCGCCCGCACCTCCATGATCCACGCCCGCGCGCCCCATTTTTTGTGGCCCTACGCGGCTCGTTACGCTGCTCACCAGCTGAACCTCTGGCCTCGCGTCTCTCGGCTAGGGGCTTCACAGACCAGTCTTTGGACAGGGTCCCTTGGTGTTGCGTCGAGGTTTAGTGTCTGGGGCTGCTTGGCTCTTGTCCGCGACACCTCTGCGGACAAGATCTCACCTCGCGCTGTCCCCTGTGTCTTCCTTGGTTTCCCAGAGGGCTCCTCTGACTTCACGTTTTACCACCCTCCCTCCCACCAGTTCTTTGACTCTCGTGACGTCCGCTTCGACGAGTCCGTCCCCTACTATGTCCGGTACCCCTGTCGAGGTCTCTTGGTTCCCCCCCTCCCCTCTTCCCGGCTCCAGCTCCTCCTCCTCCCGCCCCTACTTCTCCAGTACCCCCCCCTGTTCCCGCTCCGTATGGTGTCTCCCACGCTACTTTCCCCCCCCCCGGCACCCCCCCAGGTCTCTCCTCCTTCCCCACAGTCGTCCTCACCGCCTCCGCAGCAGCCGTCAGCGCTTCCTTTACCGGCCACTGCGGCCTCTGAAGGTGTTGGTGCTCAAGGTGAGGGTTCTGGCGGTGCTCGCTCTGGGGGTGCTGGCGTTGGATCTGTTCGTGCACCTACAGGAGCAGCCAGTTCTAGGGGTGTTGGCGTTGGAGCTGAGCGTGCACCTGCCGCAGCTGTCCGTTCCGAGGGTGCTGCAGGTGGTGGTGTTTCTGGAGCTGGAGAGTTTGGGGCTGGTGCTGGTGCTGGTGCCACTGGAGGCGCCACGACTGGGGGTGCGGGTACACCTCCTACAGGTGCTGGTCGTGCTGCCGCGGGAGGTACTCACTCTGGGGGTGCTCAACCGGGTACTGTCGAGGACGGAGCCGGTTCTTCTGCTGCGTCTTCTGACACCACTCCTCCTCCTTACCCCTACCCGACTCATTACCGGGCCCTTCTTCGTCTAGAGCGTGAGGAGCAGCAGCGTTTGGAGCGTGAGAGGTTGGAGTTGCAGCAGGAGCAGCAGCAGTCCCAGCAGTAGCAGCAACAGCTGCAGCAGCCGGAGCAGCCTCCGACCCCTGTTTCTCGCCTTCGAGCCCTTGGTCTCCCCTCCTCTCCTCCTGTGTTCGGTCCTAAGTTTCCTCCTCCGGACTCAGCTTCGGCTGTGTTCCTTCGTTCTCAGTCTCCTCCGTCTCCCTCTCCTCTCGCCCACACTTGGACCTCTCGTCCCCCTCGTGCTCGTCCTTCGTCACCTGTCACTGACCTCTGTATCGTGTTGTTTCATTCTAGTCCTCCTCGTCCTCCTTCGTCTGTTCTTCCTCGTCCTCGTGAGTCGTCCCTCACTGCCTCCGATCACTTACTACTACCGCACGTACCGCCCCACCCTCTCTCGTGTTCTTGCCTCTCTTGTTACAGACCCTCGTGCCTCTCCTTCCTCCGTCGCGGTCCTCACTGCCGCTGTCACTGACTTTACTGCTACGCATCGCCTTGACTACGCCACTCGTGTTATGGCCGCTCCTCCTGTCTGTCCTCTGTCCGCCGGGGGTGAGTCTGCCTTTGGCTGTGACATCCTAGAGGACAGACAGTTTGAGCTAGAGTTCCTGGCAGCTGCTTCGCCTCATCTCTGTGCCATGCTCCTCGCTCCTGAGGGAGACCCGGACGCTCCAGACATACCTACTCCTCGCACTTACGCTGAGGCAGTGTCAGGGCCTTGGGCCTCTCAGTGGAGAGCTGCCACGGACGCAGAGATGGCCTCCTACAGGTCCATAGGCACTTACGTTGACGAGGTTCCCCCCCCAGGGGCGAACATAGTTGACAGCATGTGGATCTTCAAGGTGAAGCGGCCGGCGGGATCTCCCCCAGTCTTCAAGGCACGCTACGTGGCTAGAGGGTTCAGTCAGCGTGAGGGAGTTGACTTCTTTCAAACCTTCGCGCCCACCCCGAAGATGACCACTCTTCGGGTCTTACTGCACGTAGCAGCGCAGAGAGACTACGCGCTACACTCTCTTGACTTATTTACTACCTTCCTCCAGGGCAGTCTACACGAGGAGATCTGGCTGCGTCGTCCTCCGGGCTTCACTGGCACCTTCCCGCCTGGGACCCAGTGGAGCCTCAGACGACCGGTCTACGGTCTCTGCCAGGCACCCCGTGAGTGGCACGACACTCTACGCTCTACTCTGTCCGACCTCGGGTTTGAGCCGTCTTCCGCCGACCCGTCGTTGTTTGTTCGTCGTGGGCGCACACCTTTCTTCGTTCTCGTCTACGTTGACGACCTGGTTTTTGCCACAGCCGACACAGTTGCACTAGCGGAGGTGAAGTCCGAACTGCAGAAGAGACACACCTGCACTGACCTTGGGGAAAACCAGGTCTGGGTCTGGAGCTGTTTCGTGGAGGTCCACTCGGTCGTCCTCTGTTGCGACTTCTACCGCAGAGGCTGCGATCTACGCTGGAGCCCTTGCTGCACAGGAGCTACGCTGGTTGACCTTCTTGCTTACCGACCTTGGTGAGCGGCCGAGCTCTGCACCGACCTTGTTTGCTGACAACAAGGCGACGATTCTCGTGCGTCGTGAGCCTCGACTAGAGAGCAGAGTGAAGCACATCGACGTCAGGTACTTCCTCCTTCGAGAGTTGCAGAGACGCAGACAGGCTCGTCTGGACTTCGTGGCCTCCGAGGCCAACACCGCGGACATCTTCACCAAGGCCCTTCAGCCTTGTGACCACCGCCTGTTTTGTCTGCAGTTAGGCCTCGTTGAGACTGGGTCTAGTAGACTGCAGTAGTGAGTTCTTGCCTCTTGTTTTTGTGTACCATATATATTAGATTGTACACTCTTGAACTGGCCTTGTGGCCATTTGTTTGTGCTCAGACTGTGTGGTGACGTTGTGATCCACCCTGAGCTTTGTTTTCTCTCTTGCTTGTGACTGGTCTTGTGATCTTATGTTGCGTTTCTTGTTGCTTGGCATTCCCCACTTAGGCTATGGGGGTGCGTCAAAAGTTATAGCCTCTAGTGGGTTATGCTATATGGGGTACAAACAGTTAGGGTTAGGCATTTGTACCCCAACCCAATCAATGCAACTCATTCCGCCGTGTTTTGTTACTGAGAGGTAGCGTAAGGATTTTTTCCGAATTCCTTATCGGGGTTCACTGCTTCGCGCACAGCCCGATTTCCGGACTTCGCACGTTTGGCCGATTTCAACGCTGCCGAGGTTCCTCGCGTCGCCTTCGGCATTTCCCAATCGCCAAACCTGCACCCAACCTCGCTCGTCCGAGGTTCCCTCCCAGCTAGGCTAGTTCCTACATTAGTCTGTGCCTTCATTGTATTCTCAGTTCATTCAATCACAGTCTCTTTATTCGTTTACCTGCGCACTCTCTTTTACAACTCATAACAATATATGCCTTGAGCACAATCAGGGTAATATTCTCTAGAAAGCAGCATGAACAACTCCTGAACTGGTGTGGCTACAAGGACGATAATATAAACAGACTATTTCCAAGGCTGCCGCATTTGCGAAGGAATGTGAAGGTAACGAGAGTTGTATACCGCGAAGTCTGTCCGGAACCAATCTCGTCGTCGTTTGATTGGTTCGGTTCGTGAGCAGCAGTCGCTGCTGGCGCATGCTGCTGCTTAGTGGCAAGTAGCCCGAACCGCCCTGGGCCACGCGTTTCGGAATCGCACTTCAGTCAAGGGTTCCAGGGCCCAGCGAACTCATCGAAGTATCTCACGAGCTGTTACACATGCTTCGGCACCTCCATTCTGGTCGTCAACCAATCCGATGACTCGACACCTCGCAAACCGCGCTCGCTATTGGGTTGTCGGTCGACAATTTCGTTATTGTAGGTTTAGCGGCGTGGATTTGCTAGCGGTCCTTGAATGCAGGCAGAATTGGGGGCGATCGCAACATTTGCAATTTTGCTGCGAGGCGGAGTTGAAGGGAAAGAGGGACATCGCTGAGCGGGAGACCTCAACCAGACCACCTCAACCGGACCACCACATCACCACCACCACCAGTCTTGTTTCCACTGGCATTCAGTGGTGGTTGAGGAAGCTTCAGTTCGACCATTTCCTCCCACAATTGAGCATTCCCCGTTTTGAGATTTCTATCAATCGAATTAGAGACTGACATCCTTCCCACTTCTCTCAGGACAAGCTTCTCGAATCAAATTAGCACCTTCATAGTTTTCCATCAATTGCCATAGCTGGTTGCCTTCGAAGTTAGTTGCTGCTGAACTTAAGCCCCGCTCTTTAATATCACAGTCATGGCGGCGCCCAAAATAGCACTATTAGCCGCTGCCTTCGCTCTCCTGTTCGCGCTACAAGCTTTCGCGGATCCCGCACCCGAACCTCGTCCTGGTAAACCGAAAGCATCCCTCGATTGCTTTCTTTAATTCCACCCTTTAAGCCGTATGCACAAACTAGGAATACCAACGAGTCTATTCCTAGACATCGAAAAAGAGGGAACCGTACCTAACAGTACATTCCTCTTCTTTATCTCCCCGTCGATTTCCCTGCGCAGCGAAGTGCGACTACTCGGTGGGCAAATGGGTGAAGGCGGTGAATCAGCCGAAGCGATACTCGGGAATAGGTTGGGAGCCGAACTACTGCAAGTACATTCGCAGCGGCTTCAACTGTGAAACCAACAACCGGCCCGACCAGCTCTACCACCAGCTGCGCTGGCAGCCGGAGAAGTGCGATCTTAGTTATGTTACCGCGGAGGATTGGGGGTTCCTCATGAAGGGCAAGGTGCGTGGGCTACGGGATTCCATAACTTACGGCAATGAAAGCCTGTGCGTTTTCATTTGTCTGGGACGTTTTCCGTTCAATATTAATCGCGCATGCGATCGCTTTCCGACCCTCATTTTGTATGTAATCTGGACAATTTCAGAGGATGCTTATGGTGGGAGACTCCATAACGAACAACGCGTACCAGTCGCTGCTCTGTCTCATCAGCTCGGCCGACAACAAGGGAAAGGTGAGGGCGGAGGAGGTTGAAAGGTCGCGTGAGTGTGCAAGGGCACAGTGAACGGAGAACTAGCGATAGTGGAGCTACTATGCATTTACATTTCAGAACACTTGGCTCGAGCGTCTTGAATGAAACATATATGACTACCTTCGTTTCGAACTGCTCTCCGGCTCATGTTCTCAGCCTCCTTTTCCGCCATCCATCCCTCACCCCTGTTTTCATCACAGCCGTTCGACGATGACAGTGCGCCCAAGGGTTTGAGAGGCGTGGATTTCCCGACGATCGACTTTTCTCTGCACTTCTACTTCTCGCCCTACCTCACGCAAGCTGAGAGGCGAAAGCCCATCGCCAACCAGACGGGCACGCCTGGTTACAAGGTTAACATCACGACAATCGATCCCGTCGTTCAGTACCTCGTTTCGTATTACGATGTGGTGTTGTTTTCGACTGGTGTGTGGTGGTCGCAAAACTTTCCGGGCAGCCCGAAGCAGCCCGACCAGTATTACATTCAAGGCGCTCCCGCGAACATCACCAACGTCAACGCTCAGTGGTACGCCGTGAAATCCTGGGCGAATTACCTCACGCGAATTGAATACCCCGGGATGCCCTATTTCCTGAGCTTTTCGCCCAAGCACGGCCCAGTTGATCCTACTGACCCTGGTGAGGGTTCATGTGGCGCGACAAGACCGATGGAGTGGGACGAGGCGATGGATGAGTACAATAACCTGACTGTAGCTGAGGATTATTACAAGTCTCAGAAGAACGCTCTGCGGGGGTCGCTGTTCCGCTTTGTGCGTGTAACGAGGATGAGCGAGACGAGGCCAGACGCTCATCTCGGCATGTGGAATCAAATCCAGCCGGACGTTTCGGCAGCGTTCAAGACACCCGATAAGGGTGACTGTACGCACTGGTGTCTTCCTGGGCTGCCCGATTCGTGGATGGATATGCTCTACAGCCAAATGCTGTTGGAACCGCTGCTGCTTACACCGAACTAGACACAGATTAGTTCCTATTGCTGGAGGGAGAGACCTCATGATAGATGAGATAGAATGTGAGGTCTCTTGTAGAATTTTCTGCTGGTGTGTGAGTGATGTATACATGCAATCTGTATGCAAGAGAGTTTTAGCTTTGTTTTCCTAATATATCCTTGTGCTGATATTAAAGTGGTGGTATTCCTATTGACAACATGTTAGCCTGGCCAGAGCTGGCTTAATGCTATCTCAATCCTGCTTAGACATTTGTGTCTCAATCCCCATTTGTGTCTCAGAGTTGCGTCGATACATTTTGTCAATCTCGCGTCACAAAAATTGAATGTATCTCGAAATTGGGCGACCAGGCGAAAGTTACAGTTGTGCGCATCTGACTGGATTTCAAACATGACTGTACACCCGTTTCTTCAACCGCCTGGCTGGGGTGGGGTTTGTGTCAAAATGAGGAATGAATGTTCCATTGATGTTGGTTGGGGTACATATGACAAACCCTAACTTCTGTACCCCCTAAGACAAACCTCACTACAGGCTACAACATTTGACACACCCCCATAGCCTAAGTGAGGGGTGTCTAGCAAAAAACAAAAAAGAGTACGGTCACAAGACCAGTCCAAAAGAAAACAAAGCTCAGGGTGGATCACAACGTCACCACACACTCTGAGCACAAGCAACAGTGGCCACAAGGCCAGTCCAAGAGATCACAAGTATATATAGTAAAAGTACAAACGAAGCAGGCAATAAACTCAAGTCTACGCATGACTAGAACCTGTGTCAACAAGGCCTAACTGCACACAACACCTCTGGTGGTCACAAGGCGGAAGCGCCTTGGTGAAGATGTCTGCAGTGTTGGCCTCGGACTCTACAAACTCGAAGCGAGCCTGTCCACGCCTCTGCAACTCTCGCAGAAGAAAGTACCTGACGTGAATGTGCTTCACTCTGCTCTCCAGTCGCGGCTCACGACAGAGGAGGATCGACGCCTTGTTGTCAGTAAACAAGGTCGGTGCAGAGCTCGGCCGCTCACCAAGGTCGGCGAGCAAGAAGGTCAACCACCGCAACTCCTGTGCCGCCATGGCACCAGCGTAAATCTCAGCCTCAGCTGTAGAGGTCGAGACAGAAGAGGAGCGCGTGGAACGCCAGTAAACAGCTCCAGAACCCAGACTGAAACAGTACCCCTGAGTAGACCTGTGAGTCTCAGCGTCGTCAGCGTAAGAGGAGTCACAGTGACCAGTGAGTACGACAGACTGCTGCCCTCCAAGAACTAGCCCCACGCCTGATGTAGTCGCTAGGTACTTCGCCACCCTCACAGCTGCCGTCCAGTGAACAGGACGGTGTCTCCCTGGCGCAACAAAGCGCGCAAGGATGCTGAGAGGGAAGGCGAGGTCCGGGCGAGTACAAGTCATCAGGTACATGAGGCAACCCACAAGCTCTGCGTAGGGACCACTAGGCTCAAACGGCTCGTCAGGAAAGGGACCAGTGAGTCTGTGGTCAACAGCTAGAGGTGTGCGCTGTACGGTGGAGTGCTGAAGCCCGAACCGCTGAAGGACCTGCTGCACCATGTGTGACTGTGAGAGTGTAATGGTGCGAGCGGCTCTGTCCCTGGTGATCTGCAGACCAAGGTAGTGGCGCAGCTCACCAAGATCAGTGCACGTGTGTCTCTTCTGCAGTTCGGACTTCACGTCTGCCAAAGCAACCCTGTCCGGAGTGGCGAAAACGAGGTCGTCGACGTAAACCAGAACAAAGAACGGTGTGGAGCCACGACGAACGAACAGCGACGGGTCGGCAGAAGACGGCTGGAACCCAAGGTCAGAGAGGGTAGAACGCAGAGTGTCGTGCCACTCGCGAGGGGCCTGGCGAAGACCGTAAACAGGTCGCCTCAGCCTCCACTGGGTCCCAGGAGGGAAAGTGCCAGTGAAGGCCGAGGGACGACGCAACCAGACCTCCTCGTGTAGGCTGCCCTGAAGGAAAGCAGTGGAGAAGTCGAGAGAGTGTAACTCGTAGTCCCTCTGTGCTGCTACGTGTAGTAACACACGAAGAGTGGTCATCTTCGGGGTAGGTGCGAAGGTCTGAAAGAAGTCAACTCCCTCGCGCTGACTGAAACCTCTAGCCACGTAGCGCGCCTTGAAGACCGGGGGAGATCCCGGTGGCCGCTTCACCCTGTAGATCCACATGCCGTCGACTACGTTCGCCCCAGGGGGGGGAACCTCATCGACGTAGGTGCCTGTGGATCTGTAGGAGGCCATCTCTGCGTCCATGGCAGCTCTCCACTGAGAGGCCCAAGGCCCTGACACTGCCTCAGCGTAAGTGCGAGGAGTCGGAATGTCAAGGGCGTCGGGGTCACCCTCAGGGGCGAGGACCATGGCACAGAGATGAGGGGAAGCGGCCGCCAGGAACTCTAGCTCAAACTGCCTGTCCTCTAGGGCGTCACAGCCAAGGGCAGACACACCCCCGACGGCCAGAGGACTGGTAGGAGGAGCAGCCACAAGCGTGGTGGCGTAGTCAAGGCGGCGGGTAGAGGCAAAGTCAGTAACTGCGGCAGTAAGAGCGGACACAGAGGACACAGAGGCACGAGGGTGAGTAACAAGAGAGGCGAGAACACGAGAGAGAACAGGACGGTACGTGCGGTAGTAGTCAGTGACAGGAGTAGGGAGCGACACAGTGAGGGCCGACTCAGGAGGAGACGGAAGCACAGACTGAGACGGACGAGGTGGACTAGAAAGAAGGAAGGCAGTACGAAGGTCAGTGAAGGGAACAGGAGACGAGGGACGAGCACGAGGGGAGCGACGAGTAGCCCAAGAACGAGACGGAGGAGAAGAGGACAAGGGCGGAGAACTGGGGAAAACAGCGGGGGAGGAGTCAGGAGGAGGAAACGTGGGACCGTAGACAGGAGGAGAGGCGGAGGAGGGAGGAGAAGGGGAGGGGAGACCAAGGATCCGAAGACCCGAGACAGGAGGAGGAAGTGGCTGCTGCTGCTGCGGCTGTGACTGCTGCTGCTGCGGACGCGGCTGCTGCTGGGACTGCTGCTCCTGCGGGTCCAGCTGCTGCTGCTGCTGCTGCTACTCCTGCGGCTCCAGCTGCTGCTGCTGCTCCTCCAGGCGCTGTAACTCCCTCTCCTCTCTCTCCAACGCCAGCTGCTCGTCACGGGCACGGCGAACACGAGCCTGGTGCCTAGTCGGGTAGGGGTGGGGAGGCGGAGTAGTGTCCGAAGCAGCGGCAGCTCCAGAGTCCACTCCAGAAGAACTAGGCTCACCACCCCCAGAGGCAGCACTAATACCAGCTCCAGACCCAGGCTCACCTGAACCCGAAGGAGGCGCACCCTCACCCCCAGACGCAGCACCCCCAGTGTCCGCGCGGCCAGCACCAGCTCCCGGACGACAAGAGTCCTCTACACCCACCTGGTCAGCTCCAACTCCAGAACCAGAAACACCAGCTCCAACCCCAGCTCCAACTCCAGCACCCCCAGAACCAGAAACTCCAGTGCCAACTCCAGCTCCAACTCCAGCTCCAACTCCAGCTCTAACTCCACCACCCCCAGAACCAGAAACCGGTACAGGAACAGGCGTCGCACCAACCTCTCGAGAGCTAGCACCAGCGGCACGCTGCGAGGAGGACTGTGGGGAGGGAGGCTGTACCGGAGGGGCTACCGAAGGAGGAGGGGTAGCCTGGGACACACCTGACGGGGCTGGACCAGGGGGGGGAGGCTGTACCGGGGGAGCAGGAGGGGGAACGGCAGTCAGGAAGAGGGGGGGAGGAGGAACCGGGAGACCTCGACTGGGGTACCTGACGTAGTACGGAGTGGACTCCTCGAAACGGACGTCACGGGAGTCAAAGAACCGGTGAGAGGGAGGGTGGTAAAAGGTGAAGTCAGAGGAGTCCTCAGGGAAACCAAGGAAGACACAGGGGACGGCACGAGGCGAGAGCTTGTCCGCGGAGGTGTCGCGGACAAGAGCCAAGCACCCCCAGACACGAAACCGCGACGCAACACCAGGGGACCCTGTCCAAAGACTGGTCGGTGAAACCTCTGGTCGAGAGACACGTGGCCAGAGGTTCAGCTGGTGCGCGGCGTACCTGACCGCGTAGGGCCACAGAAAATGGGGGGCACAGGCGTGAGTCAGGGAGGTGCGGGCGATCTCCATGACCAGGCCTATGCGGCGCTCAGCAACCCCATTCTGCTGTGGGGACTCTGGAAGCGTCCAGGACTGACGAATGCCCTGCTCGCGACAGAATCCAGCGAGAATGCCGGAGCGAAACTCACCCCCACGGTCGGAGTGGAGACAGCTGACACGACGACCACGAGTGTCCTCGGTGGTGAGCAACCACCTGATCAGCGTAGAAGTCACCTCAGACTTCTTCGCCAGAGGGAACACTGTGGTGTAGCGGGAGAAGTCGTCAACGACCACCAGAAAGTAACGCTCACGCTCAGGGCCTAGACGAGGGGCGGGGCCCCAGACGTCCAAGTGAAGCGTCTCAAAAGGCTCGGTGGCCGGACGAAGGGAGGAGGAGTGAGGGGTGGCGCGCAGCCTACCCTCGACGCAGGGACGACACGGCGGCGCAGGCGAAGGCGGCAGCGACGGCAAGACACGTGGGAGGCCTAGGACAAGACGCTGACTAGACATAGCGCGCAGACGTGGAAGGGACGGGTGCCCCATCCGGTGGTGCCACAGAACGGTGGGGTGGGCAAGCGACCGGCAGGAGCACGACGCAGCGACTGGAACAGACGTAGGAACCTGACACGACACAGACACCTGGGGGGACGTAGCAACCTGGTGAGACGCGGGGAACCGAACGGGGGGGGGAACCGGGGGCAGTGGCAGTAGGGGGGGCTGCTGGTGCGGCCGCTGGTGCTGCTGCTGCTGCTGCTGCTGCTGCTGCTCCTGCGGCTGCGGCTGCTGCTGCTGCTGCGGCTGCTGCTGCGGCGCACGCGGGCCAGTGTGAAGAGTGTAGAGACCCGAGCCCGGCTCAGCAGTAAAGGTAGCAAGAGGCTGGTAAGAGTCTCCGTCAACACACAC